ATTAAAACACATTTCAATCTCTTATTCTTGTTTTCAAATCTATAGAGAAATCCGTTTTGAAAGTTATTATCGATGTTATGAAGCGCTAAGTCTTCGACCAAAACATCGTTTAAATCCAATTCCTGTTGAGAAAAGTGAATCCAATTGTTGTAAACATTTTTGAAATAATTCTTTAAATAATTCATTTCAGAATTCATTGATTTCATACGAAATACAATAATATGTTTTACAGACAAAAATGAATTATTATAATTTATACATTATAAAGTTTACATAGTTTGTTATAAAATACTCATTAACATCGGGGTTCTAAGTGTACAAATAAGAGCACTGCTCACTCTATGAATGTTTAATATTTGCGCTCATTAATTTGTTAAATAAAAATTGAGTTTAAGTTTTAATTAGTTACACATGCACTTACAGTAAATGTATTTAAAATTTACAAGTTAGTACCAGTAATATAATTACCTACTTGTATAATTACAAATTACACGGTATAATTAGTAATTACTAATTACCATAATGAATATACAATATGTTTTGTGTTCAAATGTAATTCCTAATTAATAATTACCGGTAGAAGCAAAATATGACGCTTAAAATTTACATTATTAACAATAATTATCTTTAAATCTTTATTAAATAACATTTGAGAATAATCTAAACATTAAATTTTATATTTATATCTAATAATAATAAAATTTAATAATTTATAATCAATAAAACTGTTGACTATAAGTTGTAATTGACATAAAATATATAAAACCACATTTAAAACCATCACTAATTATAATAAAATTGCGATACAATTGGCCACAAGTGTTATATATCGGCGGACAAACTCTTCTACAATGACATTAATTCCATGCCTAATGGATACGTGTAATCAATGGGTGACCACAAACTGGTCGCTCACACCCAATACATCACCGGTTTGTGTGACGTATACTAAGCGGAACCGATCGGCCGTTGAAAGTGTTTGCTCTGAGAAGTGCACCAAAAACCAGGGCTCAGAGTTGGCGGCGGTTCTCGTATCCACACTCTGGCCATTATTGTTGTCCGAGTGATCGCCACTTTGTCCCGGAGGTGACCAACGAGTGGGCACTGGATTTGCGCCGACGTATAACAAGCGGTCGTCAATTGATATGAAATCGGATTTATATAAACCTATTGTTTGGTCAATAATACAAAAATACAATTATTCTTACGGTAATAATCATAACAATAGCCTACAAACCGATAAAATCACTGGCGGACAGCGTATCGATTGCGCTGTCGTCGGCGGGAGTGATAGTAAACCATGCGGTAAAGTCCCGGTTCACCCGCCAATTGGCGATCGGCGCAAATGTCACGTATGTCTGGCCACTAACGAACGGCCGGGTCTTGAGGTGGAAGAGAGCGGACACCGGTTTGTGGTCCGATTGTTTGTATTGCGGATGAGATGTATAATTGAGTTGTTGTAAATCAAGTGTTGTATTCTCGTAGGCGTTAGCCGTAAAGCGGTATAAAATACGGTCAGTGAAGGCCGGCTTACGAGGTCTGACCGGATCTCTGACACCACAAACAACAGATATTGATTAGATATAAATAATTAAAATAATAATAACAACAATCACTCACTTGTAATCATAATCACTGGTATCGATGAAGAACTTATAGGTCGGCGCGAATGTCGGCTCACTTTCGCTAAACTCACTGAACGCACGGCCCTCCAGACGGACGCGATTTAGCTTTAATTGTGATTAAAAACACAAACAATTGCCATAAAATTATCCATAAATGAGATAACATTTGTCTATTACCTGGTCTTTGGCCAAAAGTGGCGCAAACCTATTGACAGTTCCGCTGCTGGTCTTTACGCTAATGTCGTGAATCTCATCGCCGGTCAGTTCGTCGATCCGGAAGTTCAGATCACCCATCCATAGGACGTAACTGTTTGTGTTTGGGATCAATTAATGTAACAATTAGTAAAAAAATAATGTCTAAAACCGTGTAATTGTCTCTAAACTCATGGCTTAAAATGTCGGCCGATTTACGGCCAGTGAAGCACAAGTCGGCGATTATTTCGTTATAATTGTCGACCCGTTTCTCAGTGTTTTGCTCGTGTGGTGTGAGATGTGTGTTCACAATACAGACCGACACCCCGTCCACAGTCAGGCCAATGGCCACCGCTTTGTTGGGCGGCGATTCTGACCGACGGCTGTGCGCCTATCGTTAAGATTAGATAAACACAAAATTATAGATTAGTTTAAGTATTAATTCAAAGACAATTTGTTGTCAACTGATCCATAGATGCGATGTTTTACCGACAAAAAAGTTGCCGTAAAATAAAAATAAGTTTACAAAACCTTTAAAAATAATAAACAAAATGCAAACAAAAACAGGGATCAAGTGATGGCCAAAATGGATACCTCAACGGCTCGAAAGTGTGGCAACAGTTGCCGTCGGGTGTAGACCACGAGCGACGCGTCCGCAAAGCGGTGGCGCTTAAGCCTAACGTAGTCTAAACCGGTAAACAAGCGGTCAAACTCTGGTGTCCACGAGTCCACAAACTGGTCGCTCAACTCTCGGGCGCACAACTCCTGCAGACCGATGGCGTACACGTCGGCCAACGGCTGGTCGCCGGCGGCAGTGGTGTCGGTGTGGAGGCCATCGATGCCCAGCAGTGGCCGCAAATCGCTCCGGCATTGACCCGACTGCAGGTTCCACGTGATTGTCCGTACGCTGTATCGGGAGTAGAATGTAGTGAACGGGTTATTACGGCCTGTGATTGGTTTAACAAAACGGATAATTACCTCAAATGTGGTCTCATTTTATGGTTTGAAATACACTTTATTTTAATCGCAAGTGTTTTTTGTATTGCAATCAATGCTTTCATTGTTTACATTACATGACAATTGTGTAAACACTGTTCAATACAGACTATTCTCGATATAATGAACGAATCAAAAGTTTAGTAATTAAGTAAAATTAATTAATTGAAGCATAAATTTTAGCATAATGCATGTCTAATATATTACCGGCTGCTAATTAATACTGGTAATTTTTTATGGCACTAAATGTGACCTTGGTTGTTACTCGTAATTGAGTTATTAATTAACGGCGATTATAGTTATCGGCGATTGTATTGTGAGCACAGCTGCCAATCACGTGACCAAATGTGACAATTTATAGTCACGTGTGAACTGTATTTACAAAACACTTGAGTCACTCAATACAACACATTATTGCGCCGATGGGTCCGCCACTCGACACACAGCAGGCGTAACCATAAGTGTTGTGTTACGTAATACTGTCGTTAAAAAATTAATAAACCATGATTATTATAATCGGGGGTAAATTAATTGCAAAATATATGGACACCAATGATATGTATAAAAAATACAATTAGTTAAATGACCATAATTTATATGTTTTCGTTAGTAAGAGTTGATTATGGAATATAGAGTGTGATAATTGTTGGTCAGAAAGCGTAGAGTAGACTGTATTCGGCGATACAAACGAACAGACGATACGTTTCGGACGTCACGTGATTTTGTGGACGGAATCCATGTTTGCATTCAAACAGTGTTTTGTTTGGCGACCAAAAGAGTGGCCAAAAACGCCGATTACTGACCGCCCGATCGCTTCGGACAACCCTTTTGTGACCACCGATTGATTGGCCGAAACACAAGACATTTGACCGCCGATTACGCGACACAAACTCACGTGTAGTGACCGCCGCCGCCGCTGAAGACCCGCCGCAACCGCTCACCCGATGGCCGCCACTCAGAGCCAATCACTGGACATCTGGTCCCGCGATTGGGTGTGTTTTGTGTGCGAACTGTTGACCGCATCGCCGGACGCGCCACTCATGACGTGCCACTCGTGCGGTCGTGTCGTCCATCAGACGTGTCTCTACGAGACGGTGGCCGACAGTGTGGCCGAAGCCGCGGAGATCAACGCCTGTATCGCCGCCTCTGAGACGAGTCCGCCGGTCATACCAGCCGTCCAATCGCCGGAACCGCCGGTCACTGCGGCCGCCGAAGAAGACGTGTCGCTCACACCGCCGGCAGAGGCCATACGCGATGACCCGATGGCGGACACCAGCGATGGTCAGCCACTCGTCGGTTGTTCCCAATTGTCGGCCAATGAGTCGGCCGTTGAGGCCTTCGACAGTCAAACGGAGTTGAGTTGGCGGTCGTCTCAGGCGTCGACCAGTACTAGTGGTAGCGGTAGTAGTAGTGGTCACTCAATCGGATCCCAAATACTGCCCATTACTGTCAGCGACGAAGAGTTCGAGTGTTATCGGTGTCGGCGCCTCCACTTCGCCGCGGGCTTAGGGCT